AGGGGATGTGAAAAGGGGAATTGTACAAATGAAAAGGATATTTTTGTTTTCATGGTTAGTATTTATTTTGGTAAAATGAGTATTTTGTTTTGTTTTTGTTAAATTAAGGGAAAAAAGACAACTACTGTTTAACAAAGTTAAAGTAAAAATGTCTTATTTCCCTAAAAGGGCTATTTCTATTATTAATGAAGCAGGCACAACTTAACAAAATAAGAGTTCCTGTGCCTCAACACAATACCTCTCATTGTTTGCTGTGTACTGGCAAAGTGAATAATTATTTTCATGCACCCCATTATTGGTTGGTTGTGAGGACTGTTGATTTGTATAAGCTTGGCTTGACCATACTAAATGGGCATATAGCCCTGCTCCCCATCACCGCCGTGCATGGGACCGGACCTTGGTCTTATTAAAAAAAAAATAAATAAATAAAAAGTGGACCGACAGCATTTCTAGTTGAGGACCACTGATTTAGAGTGTTCCATTAACCTGCCATGCATGTTTTTGGAATGTGAGAGGAAACCGGAGTACCCAGAGAAAACCCACGCAGGCACTGTAAGGCCGACGCACTAACCAGTCGACCACTGCGCCGCCCTCCATAGAATGTCGTTGGGACAAATTTCAGTTATCTTGTAAGATAATGAATGTGTTTTGACAGTATTTTGAGTGGAAACATGGAACTCTAGTTCTCATCATATGAGGGACCGTTTCAAAAAAACTTTAAAAGAAGACTAGCTGTAAGCAAGGTTACATACATCCTCACCTACCTTGGATTTATTTTGTGTGTGTGCGTGCGTGCGTGTGTGCGCACACACTTAATTGGTTGAAATGATTGCTTTTCGTGAGGAGGCTAGCAAAAACTTGTTACACTTTTTTATGAGGTAAGTTGTTGATGCTGAACTGATTTAACAGACTATTGAACTTTCTGATTCAAAGAATATTTGATGAGGGAAACTTTGCTTTCCAGTGTATTTCCTCTTGTTGTGTTGTTACTTGGACTCAGGAGGTACAGTATGGCTACATTCTGCCATGAAATGGTTTGACAGCTGGTTTATAGCTGTTGTCAGCAAAGGTGGGCAAAATAGGAAAGTCCATCCAGTGCACTATGACACCGTCCAATATTCTACGCTGATGCGCTGACAATACAACAGCAAGGTGAATACTTCAGTTCAACATCAAGAAAGCCCACAAATTGAGAAAGTGTTTCCTCTATTGACGAATTGCTACTCTACTCCATGCCTCTACTCATGAGGTCCAGTTTCAGTTAATGTAGCTACACAGGGGGGCTGGTGGGCTCTGAACGAGAATAGATCAGAGCAGCCTTGAAATGAAAATGTCAAATGAGCTGTCGTCTCTCCACTGGCAAACCTGTCCAACGAACAAGAATCAGCGTCATGTGAAGTAACTTCCTCCTTAAGATTTGTGTGAACAAGGTTTCCAAACATGCAACTCTTTCATACTCACCTGGCTTTGCTTCCCTTTCTAATCTTCTTGAGAAACATTATTCGCTACAATTTGGACAGTTTCTCCGCCTGAGCTGCTCTCATCACTATCATCGTCTTCCCTCTCATTTCTACAGAAATCACTGCTTTCTCGTCTCTGACACTTGCCACTCTAAACACATACTACAGACTGTATTTGTCAGTCACAATCCATAAAACACAAAATCACTTGTACGTTAGTCAATGCTTCCTGGGCAAATAACGGATGCACTGATTTCTCCTAAACATCCATGCCTCATGTTTTTCAAGTCAATGTCAGTTTTGATGGACTGAGCCAGGTCAAGCATTGTGCAAAACATTTCCAGTCAACTTTCAGTTCACTAAATTTGTGATGCATTGTCCTCCTCTGTTGGCTGAAGTCGGTATTGCCAATCTGGCAAAGATACTTTACTTTGGAAATTTGTTATGCATTTGATATTGTTTGAACATAATTTAAGAATATTGAGAGTGAGCAAGACCTTATTCTGGTTTACTTTAGCTGAGAGGGCTGGTCGCTAACCAATCTCAGGACACGTAGAGGCAAACGAGCATTCATGGTGATATTCACACCTATAGACACTTTAGAATCCTTAATAGACCTAACATGCATTACTTTTGGAACACGGGAGGAAGCCTCTAATGGTGTGCTCAAAGAAAATCTATGTGAGGACCAGTAATGAGTATAAATGAGAATGAAGTAAGCAAGGGCACACAGGAAGGCCCGAGAACTTTAGATATGTGCGGTAGATGCGCTAACCATGAGTCTGCTTTCCTGCTGCAAATAGGTTTAGAGAAAAAAAATACAAACAACTGATTAAAAATATCACTCACTAATTGCTACATTAGCTTCAAAGAGCCCGGTCGTGTGCTATATTCCAGCAAGCATTATGACAGAGTCTGTCCAAAATGAAAAAAGTTTTGTCAGCGCGTAGTTGATGCCCGTGCATAATTGATTTTATTAATGTGGCAAATAAGCCTCACTTCCTTTCATGTCAGCTCCATTCCTTGGTTCCACTACTGCTCATATGACTCGAGTACTGGTAACATCACAGTAACCCATTTCATCCTGTCTTTCAGTCGTAATTGTAAATGAGTGTGGAAACATATTTTGGAACAATTAATGGAAGTAAAAGGAAAAAAAAGTGGTTTGACATGAACTCATTAATCACCACACATCCAGCCCACTCCCCAAAAAATATATAGAAAAAAAAAAACATGTCACGGCCCTCAGATGAGAATTATCTTCAACTAACTAGACGAGCAAGAAATTTGGATCCCCATATTGCAAGCTTGGGAGACATGTTATATACATCGCTTGATAAGGCGATGGTGTAATGTTGAATGAGCATTACTGTTGCTCTTCTCTTTCTTTCCATTTCTTTCACTGGACAATATTTTGTTAAAAATTAGTGCTACACCGCCAGCAGAGGGAGGCAAATCAACAGATATACAAGCCAGCTCTCACAGTACATGGCAGTGAATTATTCAGGAGTAGAATTGGGGTAGTAGAAAGAACTACTCCGGCTTTTTATACTCTTGTATGAAACTCATGTTTACATGTGACATTGACCTTTTCAAGCCTTTCCTCTCACCTGTCCCATGTGGTTTGAAATGCAGTGCACCATAAAAATGCTAACAAACTTGGTTCTTTGAAGAAAAAATGTATGATGTAATGTAAAAACTGAACAACTAGCTTGAAAATGGCTTCAATAATAAGTGAATTGAACTAAATAAATGATGTGGATATTTGTTGGTTTTTCCAACAGAGGGCAGTATTTTCCAAAATATGCACTACCTGTAGACTGTTTAATGATTCTAGTGATCCGATTGGTCAAATGAATTCCCATGAGCTATGGATCATTGGGGAACTCTCCATTAATAGCTGCTCATGGACATGGCTTCAACCCTTCCGTATGTGAATATAAATTACACCACATTAACTTTTGTGCTTAAACCTCTACAACAATTATAATATTCACTGAAACGTACAGTACGTGCCTCAACAATCCACTCTTGCTATTCTGTAAATTTACTTCACAGTGAGAAGCGTGTCTGACAGATTACCGTAACCTTTCTTTTCTATTTCATTCATTGTATTTAAATTAGAGCTTACTGACTTGACATTTTTACCCCATTGGGCTCATTTTTGCCCAATTTAATTTCATGTTAGCTATGCAAAATAGCCTATGTAACACACACACACACACACACACACACACACACACACACACACACACACACACACACACACTTCTTCCATCATAGCTAATTGTGAATTTCTTTCAGATGGCTTTAATTTTGGCAATAATCCAATTCCAATCATACTAGATTTGTTGGTGTTAAAAGGTGAACTATTTAGGAAATATCGATGACCGCAGACATGTATGCCTAAGTAATTTATGCATTACGCTTGATATGATAAACTCACATCACATAAG